TATATATATATATATATATATATATATATATATATATATATATATATATATATATATATATATATATACACACACACATACATACATACATACATACATACATACATACATACTAACATACATACATACATATAATAAATTACTTTGTAAATTGAAGACAACTTCACTCAGCCACCACAAATAACAACAGACACTAGGGGTGGGCACGGATCGGGACGGTCCGAATTTTAAGTTGTCTCACGTTCAGTCCCGTTATATATAAACAGTCCGGAACGATTCGAATTACAATCTTATCACAGTTTGTCCCACAAAATTCGGGATCAGAACAAAACGAGACGGATTCGGGTCGTCCTACTTTGTCCTAATCACAAATATAAGAAGGGGGAGAGGGTGACATTTCATTCAAAAAAAGAGAAACATCTAGCCATCCAACAAAAAACAATGAGTGAAACCAGACGAAATAAATTTAATAAACTTTGAGCTGAAATTTCAAGCCTATGAAATTAACTTAATTAATTAATTAATTAAAGAATGAATGTATTTGAATTTTGGACTAGAATTAGTATTATATATTAGTAGAGTAGATGAAACGGGACAAACCGGTATAAATTTAAGTTGTCCCACTCATGTCCCATTTAATATTGGGACGGAACGGGTTCGGGATAAAAAAAAGTGTCCCAATTATTCAGAACAATTACAAAACGGATCCAGGATTTTTCGGAACGGTCCAACGGGAACGGATTTCACGCCCACCCCTAATAGACACTTTAAATTGGGACAAAAAGAGTTCACACACTCCCAATTTTTTTTGGTTTCAATTTGCAAGTTGCAGAAGTCCTCACATACTCCGTATGTAGAGTGAACCCGAAAAAGCAAATAAATGTTTTCACTTTTGCCTTGGTCATAGAAGAAATCACAAATGTAGTGTGAACCCAAACAAGTAAATAAACATTTTCACTTTCACCTCAGTATTTCACTTTACAAAAAAAGCCCCCCCTGATACATACATAACAATGAACACGCTCTGGCCCTTTCCTTCATTCACCATAAAACACAAATCAACATCATTTATCTACCCAAAAGCAAAAGATAAAAGTAACACACAGTGGCCAGAACAGTAAAACTTTGATTCCTAATAAACAAACTTTGGCCCCAACCATAAGAAGCATTACATTCCTTCGTCTATATTACCTGGGGACGTTAGATCGACTGTCTGCCCGAATATATCGGGGATTCCTCCCCAGTCCTGTTTTGCCCTTGCTTCCCAGTATCCACCGACATACTGGTAATGCCCATCGCCGTCTTTGCGGAACCATCTTGGTTCCCAACCTCTCTCCTGTAATTTCCTAGCCTGTGGAATCGTTTACCAAGGTGTTTATCAAGCTAAGAGTTCATAACCTATAATGTTTTAAGAGCTAAATGTTGTTCTTAGGGTCTGTTTCCAGTTCCTCAAAAAATGCATTAAAGGTGATTGAAGTGCCATATGCTTGCATTTTACGTCAACCTTTCAGTCTTTTTTTAATATAAAACACAGAGCATTTCCCTCCAAAACCTTTAATCCAAACTGGCCCCTTTTTTGCAGCAAACTAACACTAAAAAAAAAGATGAGAGATAAAACGCAATACCCGTCGCTGCAATTGCTCGAGCCTGAGCTTCTCTGAATTGGACAGCTCATATTCCCCATTCTCCAAGTGTCGCTGATCTGGTCTAAGCCTTGAATCAGTTGGTGGAAGTTTCTCCCGCAAACCAGGTGTCAATTCATTTAATGATATAGCAAAAGGTGTGAGATTATATCTCGTTTTTGTAAGTGTCTTATCCCTTTCCCATAACAATATTGCATCGGTCATTGGATCGTATCCCTTTGGTTTTGTAGCTGGATCTCCCAATACATAATACATTGCTTCATCCCATTTTCCTAGTAACATTGCCACCTTCTCCCCTGTTTTGTTGTCTTGCACAAATCCATGAACCTTTGGTGGTAATAATAATAATATTAATAATAATAAGATTTCAATTCTACAAAGACAAAAAGATGATCTATTAATCTGGAGTTTGGGCATGGAAATCACCTGATGACGATTTCGGTCTATAATAGACTGCTCCTTGAATTTGAGGATACAGGAATATTTACCACTGCCTTGTATGCGCATAGTGCCATAATGGTCACAATAGATTTTCCCAATTATAATATTGTATATCGAAGTAGTGACCTTGCTCCATCTGAATGTCTCGCCGCCTTCAAATTGTAAGGTCAGGATTCCTACTGGATCAAGTTGAATTGAACGGCCCCAAAACTTGCCTTTAAGATTAGTATCTGCCCAACATTTCCACCCTCTTCCCTCACAATGACATGCAACAACCATAGGATGATGACTGACCTGAATAAGTATATAATAATTTGTTGAACATAAAATTACATCATTCGGTAACACTTTCTGCTTTCTCTTTATGTTGACTTCTATGAAAACATAACAAGAAACCCCTTTTGATGGTAGTGTTTCTGTTTTGAGTTTTTTCATTTCCAGAAAATTATTGGAAGCAGAAATCTCTTTTTTTCAGTGTTTCTGAAAACATGTTTCGTGTTGTAGCACTGTTTATATAACATTCAGAGTTGATCATGTAATTTTATTGAAGAAACGATCATGCATGCAAAAAAGATTTACGAAACATGTTAATGGAGTATTTTGGAAATTCAAAATGAAGCAACCAAATTTCTGAGGACTAAAAAAAGATGTATACAAAATAATACCTTTTCAGAGAAGAACTTCAGACCTTTATCTGGATAGTCAGCCTCATACGTTTCTCCAAGTAGCGGATTGAAAGGTTTGCATTGCCGGCCTTCAGTGGATGCATAGCCGGAAACAGCAAAAGCAGCAACATTTAGAATTCTCATCAAATCATTGCCCTGAAAGGAAGCACAAACAAAAGCAAAGACATTAATATTTAATAAATGTGTTTAGTTACACATTCGTTTGTCGGTTGGGTTATTTTGAGACCAACCTTATGGTGACACCAGATGACACTGGCAAGGGGATAAACACCTACTACAAATAAAAAGGACTACTAGCTAAGAAACTGACCTGCTTTCCCCACTCAAGCGCCTGGTCAACCAAGTATGAGTATTCCAAATCTTCAAAGCATTTCTGCAAGGAGGAAAGTGGTTCATTGAAATAGACTGGGAGACACACACCAGACAGGTCTTTCCCTATATTATCCTTGATAATGGCCCACAAACCAATTGGCTTCTCCTTTTCCTTTGGTTCTGGAAGATTATCCCTTCTTTTAATGTAAGGATAATTGATTGTCTTTATTTCCATTCCTACTTCTCTGACTCGACCAGAACTGAAAAATGACTCATCATCATGTGCCAAAGAATGACGGGCATCTCTACTGCGATATGAAGCACTTTTCATAGCTTCAGAAGACAGAAAATCATTTGTATCGAAAAATGTAATATCCTCTTCATCTGTTTCAACATCAACTCCATAGCGGCTTTCATTGTCAGCCTCTGAATCAGTTGCACTGCCCTCTGACATGATGGAGTAGAAATCTGCAACATCCAAAAGATTAGAAGGAAATTTTGAGTTTCCAAATGCTATACAATTTGAAAGGATAGAAAAGATGAATGGAAAAAATGAAAAATAGGATCGTACTCAAATTTAAATCATTTTGCATTCTCAGTAAAACTAAATCTAAAATAAAAAGATAGGAGGATCATACTCAAGAAATCAAAATTTTGAAAACATTGAGCATAATTCATTTCCCTAAATAAGCTAAACATAAGATTGTAAGCTTAGTGTTTCTATTTCTCTAGCATTTTCTGAGATCCAAACATATCAATGATGAGCTATGTTCACAATTAACGACTCAAATTTTTATTTTTCCGTTTGTAAGTAACAAACATGCCTCTATCAAAACAATAGTAGCTGCCATGGACAGCGGTAAGGAATATAAGATAATATATTTCCTTAATTCTTTACACTCCCCTAGCATTGTCCATGATCCAAACATAAACTTAGACTTCAAAGAAATACCACTTGCATGGTGAGCTGTATTCACAATTAAGGACTCAAAGTTCTTATTTCTCTGTTGCTAAGTAACAAATATGCCTTTACCAAAGCATTACTAGCTACCTCAGAAGGCGATGGTTAACCTAAAATGTACTTCCTCTGTCCCTAAAGTTCTCTTATGCTTTTTACATGGAGTTTAAGAAAGTCAAATTGTGTGGTTGGGATTCTATTTATAAAGTAAAGAAAAAAAATATCAGCCACGCCTTTATTTCATTTAGAGGAACAGTGAAGTTTGTTGTAAGATGACATAAAAAGGAAAAGGCAAAGTTCTTTTAGGGATAGAGTGAGTACATCACATTAGTAAAGAAAACAAGCTTATTCAAATGAGGTTAGTCCGTATAGAATCAAGACTATACTAAACTATTAAACTATTGATCCCTTCTTAGCTATTTAAGAAGCAGAAACAAACCACTGAATCTTCTGTTCCCTTGTCCACAGCACGAGTCCCGCCCTTTTGTTTCATCAACAACAGTTGTTTCTAACTCAATTTTTTCTGCCTGCATGAGAACATCAAAATTAGTCCCTCCAGTTGTTTATTCCATTTCAACCCCTAGAATATCCCAGGAACCCGCTTCATCATAACATATACACCCTCCGTCCCCAAATAAATGATGTAATTGACTTCGTGGAGTTTAAGAAAGTAGTTGAAATTAAGAAGTGTAAGGATATAATTTGTTTAGATGAGAGAGAATTGTTGTTAGCCACTTATTCTTTTCTTTTTAAGGAAGGAAAAAGAAAAAAAGAAAAGTTTGTCATTTATTTGGGGACGAAGGGAGTATATTATAAATATGTAAAACTATCAATGGATCATAGCAGCTAAACAATTAAAGAACACATTTATAAATCTAATTTGCTACTCTTGAGCATCCACCCCACCCACAACTCCAACTAATGCAGCATCCAAGTATATTTGCTAGATAATGGTTGTGCCAAAGGTGCAACAAATATAACATTACAATGATTACAAGAGGGCTGTATTTTTGTAACTCAACAAATCTAAAAGGCATATGGGCATTGATGTATTCATGATCAGAGGATCTATACTTGAACATAGATGTCTAATGCATCATCTGGAAAAAATGCTCGTAAAAATCATATTTACCTCCAATTGTCTCAATGTTTCCAGTAACATCATATGTTTATGTTGGAGGCCTTTTAACTTGTGTTGCAGCTCACCAAGTTCACTTTCCAAGATATCCTCACAATCTTTTATCACAGATTCAGCAATCCCTTCTTGCAGCATTCTAGCACGTAGCTTCTCAGAGGAAACAACAAAATCTTCAGAAGGTGCAAAATCACCACTTGTTAACATCCTTGGGAATTGATCTTTAGCAACCAAGAGAGCTTCAATCCAAGTGGCTCTGTCCTCTCTTGACAGACAGCACAAATGGAGCGTCTTTGTCCCTGTGAATATAGAAAGCCTTTTGTCATCAGACTTGCTAGCCCGAACGGTTGAAACCTGTGCACATATAGAAAGAAACATTTAAAAGAAGCTGTGTACGAACTGCAGGGAAGAAGTATCAATAAAGGAAGAACTTGCCAATAAGGAAATTCTAGTAACTCCACAACAAGAATGTAGATATACAAATTTCAGATAATAAATGAGAATAAGCCATCAAATAAACAAAGAAAAACCTTCAAATGAATTTCCCCAAATGGTTTCCACTGCTTTGAAGATCCAGAAAGCCGATGATTGCTCCCATTGGATTTCCTCATATATCTCCAAGAATCATCCCCGATCACCTTGAGCCCTTTCTCTACAAAGGGGCTAATGAAAATCTTATCCGGCCCGTGAACCTTGTAGTAAGACAAAACCCCATCTTCCAATACGAACCACCTCACTCTCCACCCCTTCCCGTAGTTCACCCACTTGTGCAGTACTCCGGCCACACACCCACCTTCATTCCCGTTATACCCCTTTGTTTCACGCAAATCATCAGCCGCCGCAATGTCTTCCCTATCATGCCCAACGGAAGTTTCAGTTTCGCTAGTGCTCAAACAAGAAAACTGTCCATTAGAGAAGCTCGGTTTCGAACCTAAACCAACAGGTCTCACAGACGCCCCATTCTCAAACCCTATCTGACACTGCGATTGCGACGGCGGAGGCCTCACCCCCGCCGGATTACCCCGATCCTCCTCAATTGAAACCGGAGCAATGCAGCACAGCGGATTCATCTACTCAACCGCGAACCAAACCACAACCCAACCCCACAAATCACAGAAACGGCAAGCAAAACCCGCCGGATCAGCTCAGCCCAGCAAATTAACCTCCCCAGATCGCCGATCTCCGCGACAACGGCAGAAAAAACCCTCAACGCCGCCGATTCGATTTCCCCCGGCGCAACAAGATCGGATGATAAATCAATTAAGACAGCGATGCGTCCCTAACCGTCTCGATGTGACACATGATCGAGACAGGAATCGCGAAAGCATTTATTGCGCGCCCCAAAGCGCAATTAAGCAAAAAGAGAAGAGAAGAAAAAAAACAGTGTACTCGGCACTGTAGTAACTACGAACAGTACAGTATAACCAATCTAAGCTAAAAGAAATGTAGATAGAGTGTGGGTGTGTAAGCATAGACCATAATAGATACAGAGAGAGAAATGAGAGTAAAGGGAATCAGAGCAGAGGTTGCAGAGATTTTCTCCATTAAATTCAATGGAGACTCATCGGGGAGAGAGAAGGGGGGGTGCAGTAAATGGATTTAAATGCATGGGGTTTTGCGATTGGAGCGGAGCGAAGGAATAATGATGGCTAAGACAGCTAACATGCGCGGGGGTGGGGGGATCCTCCACCAAACTTGATTGTTAGATGAAGTAAATCATGATAAGTCAACTGACAACGTAAGCTGAGACTAGTACTCATTGCGCGCAAAGAGTCCCCTCACTTTTTGAGAGATTACTCTCGCAGTGTCGCTGGTGAGGCTCGATATTTGGTCTCTTATTCTAAATTCTACCTTTGAGAGCGGTTGAGCTGTCCATGTGGGCTTTTTCTTCCCATTATTAGGTCCATGGGTGGGCTCCTCTCAGTTCTAGCGTTTCATTTAGGGCTTGTTTTCTTCACTTCATTTGAATAATTCTGATTTGATCTAATATGGATGTAGTTATATTTAAAGGTATTTTTGATCTAATATGGTCTTGATTGTGTAAATGTAGCGGGGTGGGTTAACCGGGTTTGACCTGGACACACTCGACCCGTAATATAAAACACACAACAAGAACACAAAGTATGACCTAGACCGGGTAAATCTCCTCAGTCCGAATTATATTTCTTACTCTATCTCAAGAGTGAACTTTAGTGAGAGAAAAATTGGATCCCCTCCTCTACCAAAAATCTTCATATTTATAGAGGAGGATTTGTGACCTTCCCCTGTTCATCCATGGACAAAATAGGAAGCCCGTGGGAAGGTCACTGTACATAATCAACCTACTATTCAATCAATGAATTTAGCAACTACAAGCCAAGACAAATACTGTTCAATCAAAGACTATAAATGGATATTCTCAATCCAATCAACCCTGCAAAGTGACAAATGTTCCTTTCACTATTTGCCTCGTGAAGGCCGAACGGCGGGGTGGTCCCTTGGCCTTTGATGTTGATTGCCATTCCCAAGTGACGCAATCTTACCGGTCATCTTTCCTCCAAGGTTGTTCGGTCATTTCTTGAGTTCGACCTGTCTCTTTGGTCCTCTGGACTATCCTTCGTAACATGAAGTGACGAATTGGCTAACGCCCAAAATGTGACCGGTCACTTTTTTAGTGGAAGTGACCGGTCAATTTTTGACCCGTCCCAATCGAAGAGTTAACATCATTTGTTGACTTGATAAAAGTGACCGGGTCGGGTATAAGGATATACCCATCAAGAAGTCCTCCACTTACCGGCCTTGTGAGGAAATCATCAAGGGCGGGAAGTATACTTGTGTTGACCTATCACACTTTGAAATCATCAACTCACCCTTGTTGACGAGTCCTTTCTCATCGCCTAGTCTCTCTCATTACCTGTCTTTTTGAATCATCAAACCTTTCCCTTTCAAGACCTGTCTTTCTTTGAATTGCCAAGACTTTCTTTTTCAAGACCTGTCCTTCTTTGAATTATCAAGCCTTTCCTTTTCAAAACCCATCCTTCTTTAAATTCATAATGGCATTCTCGTTGACCTGTCCTTTTAGACATGTTGCTTTTAGAATTATCAGACCTTTCCGTTCAGACCTGTCTTCTTCTGGAATCATCAATTCATTCTCGTTGCCCTGTCCCTTTTTTAAATTTTCAAGCCATTCCCATGACCTTTCTATGGAGACCTGCCCATTTCCTGGATTCATCGTCTTCATATCAGACCTGGCACTTTTGGATTTGTGGAATACGTTGCATGACCTGACCATTTGGGTTAGTGGAAGTCCAAACATTAGCCCTGACCCTTAAGTTTTTGGAATTTCCCTCCAAAACCTTCCACCTTACCATTCAAAATTCAAAATTTCCCCGCGTAATCATTACCTCTTCCACGTGTCAAGCTCTCCTTCTCCCACCTGTCGCCTCGAGTTCCAAACCGCCTCCCTCTCTCCTATAAATACTCCTCCAACCCATCTCATTTCTTCGATTTCCTCCTTCGCTTCTCTTGATTTGCCCGGTCAACTTTCTCTCTCTAGCTCTCTGCCAAGTAAGTCCTCCAGTCCTCCTAGTCTTTTAATTCTTTCATCTTTCCATTTTTGACCGGTAGGCCTAGGTCATGTCTTCTGATAGCCAAAACATATCTGGCCAATCCTATGGATCAGGCTCTCAACCCTCTTCCTCTTCCCACTCTGAATCTTCTTCTCCCCATGTCACTCCTTTGATTCGTCGCCCCTCCCAATAGTCTAACTCTCAGGCCCGGGAAATAATTGCCCAGGAGCCTGCCCCTTTGAATCAACTGCCCGGTCGATTCAATCCCAAGGTCCTTAGCTGGGAGCAATGGGAAGAACGACTGAGATCCTTGGGCTTCCTAGCCCTTGATGTTAGACCGGTGTTCAAAGAGTCTTCTAGGGTTACTAAAAAGGTTTTGGCAGAGGTCCGTACCATCCTCCCACCGGGCTACAAAGTCCTTTCCAAAACCACCTGGCCCAACATCATTGAACCCCACTAGGGAACCCGGTTGGGTTTCCATGTTGCTTCTCTGGAGGGAGGTATTATTTTTCCTCTTCGCCCCCTCCTTATTGAAATCTGTAAAAAGTTTCATGTTTTGCCCGGTCAACTTACTCCAAACGCTCACTGGTTCTTAAATTGTTTTGTTAATATCTGTGAAAATCTGAAAATCAACCCTTCCCTTGAGCTTTTCCTCCATATGTACGAAGTCTTGCCCGGGACTAGTAACTGCCCGGGCTTCGTCTATTTTCATTCTCGTAATAAGAGATCTTTTGTGACCGGGTTCTAAACCTCCTGACCAATTTCCTTTCTCTAACCCTGAGTGGGTTGACCGGGTTCTAAACCTGAAAGGGTTCATCCGGAGTCCACTAAAGATCTTGAGGACGCCTGCGAGAAACTTCTCAAGGGTGATCATGTGACCGGGAAACCTTATGCCTATGGAGGCTTGGTATTCCGGCTACCTAATCCGGATGGGGTGAATCTGCGACCCATGACGAAGAAGATGACCGGGCAAACTCCCTGGATGGTCATGCTGAGGCCAGTTCTCCTCGTCCAGGTCGATCATCTTCTCTTAAGCTTCTTACTTTCATTTTCTTTATTTATGTACAAGGCTTAAAAACTAACCAGTCATTTGTTGCTTTGTTCTTTTTCAGACATGAACTTCAACAGGATGACACCATCATCGAGGATGACGACGATGATGTCCAAGTCCTCCACTCCAACCGGTCTCCTCTCTCCAAGCCTCCTTCTCCTCCTCACTTCCCTGAAATGGATGGGGCCACAAGTGCCCGGTGTAACCCTATCCATGAACAGAGCCAGAAGCTGAAATCTCCTCCAGCCACCCATCTCTCTGAAAGTGACCGGGTCCCTTCTCCTAAGAAGGATGTCAAGGCCAAAGGAAACGGGACCGGTCATTCTTCCTCTCAGAAAAGGAAGGGTTCCCACAAGACTTCCAGGGGGAAAGGAGGAAGAAGGTCAGGCTATCAGATCTGGAGGGGGAGTCCATTGAAGTGACATTTCTGTCCTTGGCCAAGAAATTTAGCAAGGTACCCACTCTGATTTTCCTCCCGGTTAAATTCTTTCCTTGCTTTTACTGATAGGCATGTTTTCCAGGCTAGATATATCTGAAGAAGTTGGCCGGTCAATCGTTGAACCAAAGGACCAGGTTTCCGAGCTCACCCTCCTCCTTGACTCCTCTAAGTTAGAGATCAATGACCGGGTTGAGAGGGAGAAGAAGCTGGAAGAAGAGCTGATCGCTGAAAGGGACAGGTTAGAGGAGGAAATGGCCAAGTTGGTGGAGGCGGAGAGGAAGGTGGCAGAGCTGGAAGATGCTTTGGCCCAAGCTGAAGAGACTGCCCGGTCAAAAGAGGAGACCTTTCCTGATGATGCTGTGATTTGGGCCACCTGCCATCACACTGAAGTTTCCCGGTCCATTCTCACCAATCCGGAGGACACCATGGATTTTTTCAAAGTCATGTATAAGGAACCGGAAGGGAAGAGAATGATAACAGATGTCGGGTCCTATGGGTTTCAGTGTGGCCAAAAGGAAGATAGATCTCTTCTCTATGCCAGACTCCAGAGGAAGGACCCTTCTTTCGACCCGGCCAAGTTGAAGCTTCCAGCCCTATACAAGGAAGAGCCAGCTTCCCCCTTTCTCCTTGAGTAGGTTAGGGTATGTTTTCAAACACTAAATTTTCCCAAGGCCTGGGGGATGTCCGGCCTACTTTTGATTTGTATGAAACTTAAATCCTCTTGGCATGCCTTTATCTTTTACCGGTCGATCTGCTTCAATTTGCATGGTTGAACTCCTTTTCTATGCATGGTTATTGTTTCTTGCATGATTGCTTTTCTTTTCTTTTTCTTGATCGCCTTTGAATGAACTTCCAAGCCAATAAAACTAACCGGCCTTATACCTTAGGAATCGTTTTAAAGAACGTCCAGGCCATCTCATGTCCTGGTCTTGAAAACGTCTAGGCCTCATTGGCTTGGTTGACAATTTTCTTGAATATGCTTGATTCCAAGTCAAAAGAAGTAACCGGCTTTATCCTTTAGGAATGTCAGGGTCATCTAATGTCCTAGTTAGGTGGGTTTCGAAGGTGTCCAGGTTTAGCAACCCTTGTAAACGTCCAGGTCTAAACCTTTATTTCTACACCCCATGAAACGTCCAGAGCACCTCATGCCTGACTAGTCTTCTGGACCGGCTTATGTCTAGTTTGAACTACAACAAACGTCCAGGTCATCTCATGTCCTGGTGTAGTAGGCTAGGTTGGAAGTTTTGAAGACCACTTTAGACGCAAGGCTTGAAAACTTCCAGGTCATCTCATGTCCTGGTTTCTTGACTTGAAAACGTCTAGGTCGGTTTCTTCCCCGCTTGTCTTCTGACCCAATCAACTTCCAGGTTAGAATGTGACGCTCGTCTAGGTTGAATTCTTCATGACCAACTTCTAATAGCTTGGTTGCAATATGTAACCAGCATGACGTCAAATTTCCTGTCCAGATGCCGGGTCAAAAATGTGACCGGTCAAAAAATATTTTTTTTAAAGATTTGTCTAATTTCATCAAATCCGCCAGCTAAAAAGTGACCGATCACTTTCCTAAAAGTTGACCGGTCAAATTTTAATTTTTTCCCATTCGCATTTTCTTACCAATCCAAAACATCAAAAAGTGACCGGTCACTTTTGACCATGCCACTTTCCTTTACCCCTTTGGCCTGGATGTCATGCCTAACAGTAACCTTGCTCAAATTTCGAACGAATAATCCGAATCGGTTTTAGAATCATCAAGTCTCAACATCAAGACCCGAACTTTCTTCGGAGATTTTGACCATGTCCTATGATCGCGAACCCTCTTCAAGGTTCAGCCCTCTTTCAGGCAACACCTTTCTTCCAGGGCCCCTCTTCCAGGTTTTAAGTTTTTTAATGTGCCTTTCTCTAATCATTAGGTTGACCTAGCCAACCCAATCTTCCCACGTGGGGGTATGCCAGTGAGAACCAGCCCTCATCCAATCCTACATGTCCATATGTTATGCGTTTGAAGTGAATTCTAGTCTTCCCTAGACCCTTCAATCCGCAAAGGATGGCTCATGCAAGACGGTAAATTTTTTTTTACTTTGGCATCTTTTTGCCCCTATCCAAACGAAAATTTGGTAGGGATCCATGTAAGTATGGACGCGAGTCCTCTTCCAGACCCAGCCTATCTCAAGGCCATACCTCAACATCAAGGCCCCTATCTCAAGGGTTTATCTTTTTTTTTTGACCTTGCCTCTTACATCAAGACATATTATTTTAGTATTACTGACCCAGCAACACAAGTATCGAAGAAAGCTCTTATTTATCATCGAAGGGGTATTACAAATACATGCCCTGCCAATTTGGCCTATCAGTAGAATTTTCTAAGGTGGTGGGAATTCCAGCACCTTTCCAACTCTCGACCTTCCATTGTTTCTAACTTGTATGTCCCAAGGCGTAATATTGATATGAACCTATATGGGCCTTCCCATTTCTTTGCAAGTTTTCCCCCGTCTCCGGGTTTGCTAGCCTCCCTTCGTATCAGGACCTCATCACCCACTTGGAAATAACCAGGCCCTACCTTGTTATCATGGTAGGCCTTGGCTGCTTGCTAGTATTCCGTCATTTTAGCCTCAGCGACCATCCGCCTTTCTTCCAGCAAGTTTAGCTCTGCCAAATGGTTTTCCTCATTCCCTTTCTCTTCATAGACCTTCTCCCGAAAGGTTATTATTTTAGCTTCGATGGGTAGTCTGGCCTCACACCCATATGTAAGGACGAAGGGTGTCTCCCCTGTGGCCCTTCTTGAAGTGACCCGGTAAGCCCAGATGATATGTGGCAACTCCTCTAACCAATTCATACCTGCGTCACCCAACCGCTTTTTGATCCCATCGACTATTGTGCGGTTCGCATTCTCCACCTGGCCATTCCCTTGCGGGTAGGCCACAGAAGCCTTGTTGTGAGTAATCCCGGAGTCTTCCAAGTATTTGGTGAACCCTGGATTCCGAAATTGAGGCCCGTTATCCGTCACGATGTTACGTGGAGACCCGAACCGAGTGATGATGTTCTTCCAAACGAAGCGCTAGCATTGCTTGGTTGTAATGGTTGCATATGCATCGGCCTCTACCCACTTTGTGAAATAGTCGATAGCAACTATTACGTACTTCTTCCTCCCTTGAGCTTGAGGGAAGGCTCCAATGATGTCCATCCCAAACCTTGCGAATGGAATAACATTGGAAACTGGATGGTAGTAGGTTGCAGGCCTTCCCGGAAACTTGTAGAACACCTGGCAAGTCTTGCACCTCTGCACATATTTTTCACAATCTTGGTTCATTGTAGGCCAAAAGTAACCTAGCAAGATGATCCTTTGTGCGAGTGTCCTGGACATTTGGTGGGCTGCACAAACACCCGCATGAACTTCGACGATCACTCTTTCCGCCTCCGCCCTGGTCAAGCATCTCAGCAACGGACCGCCAAATGCCCTTTTGTATAGCCTTCCATCTAGCCTTTGGAATCTTGGAGCCCTCAACTTTACTTTTCTTACCCTGTCCTCATTCTCAGGGAATTGCCCGGTCATGTAATACTTGACCAAATCATCCATCCAAATATCATCCGGCTCCACCAGGCCTAGATTGAGCTGTCCATCCTCCTCTATCAGGCTCACAAGAAAACCCTTCATTGCTAGCCTTCTCCAGCGTCTCGATCCTGGCCAGCTTGGACACATGCTCCGGGGCTGCTTGCGTCAATTTTGATAGCAAATCAGCATCGGTGTTCTCCCCCCTAGGGATTTGCTCCATCACATACTCAGTCAGGTCCTTCAATAGTGCCCTTGCCAAGTCTCTGTACTTCTGCATTTTCTCTCCTTTGGCCTCCATGTTGCCATTGATGAGGCCTACCACCAAGCTTGAATCGTACTTGATCTTGAGGCATGTGATTTGTAGGGTTTTGGCCAATCTCAAGCCCCCTATCAACCCCTCATACTCGGCCTCATTGTTTGTGAGCTTGAAATTAAAAATCAAGGCATGATATACGTTAAACCCTTCCAGAGTTGTGAATACCACACCTCCCCCATAACCTTTTGGTCCAGAGGCTCCGTCGACCGACATGGACCACCAAAGCTCAGTGATGGCCCTGGCCGGTTCTTCTGCCTGGTGACCCGTCATCTCCACAAGAAAATCAGCCACAGCCTGCCCTTTTATCGCCGTCCTCGGACGATATTCAATGCTGAATTGGGTAAGTATCATGGCCCATTTGATCATTCTTCCTGATGAAGTAGAGTCCCTCATGACCGTGCCCAATGGTAGGTCAGTCAGCATGATGATGGGGTGGGCCTGGAAGTAGGAGGTGAGTTTCTTCGCCGTTATGAATTGTGCATACGCTGCCTTCTCTATAGGAGTATACCTACTTTCCGCCCCATTTAAGGTCTTGCTTACATAATAAATAGGCCTCTGGACCCCATCATCCCTCATCAAGACCGAGCTAACGGCCATCCAAGTTACCCCCAGGTAGAGGTATAGGGTCTTCTTCGTTTCCGGCTTGGATAGGACGATATCCGAAGTCATGTACGTCTTTAGCTCTTGGAATGCCCTGGCACATTCATCATCCCATTGGAAGGTATTGGCTTTCTTTAAAACCTTAAAGAAAGGCAAAGCCTTCTCTGCCGACCTGGACAAGAACCGGTTTACGGCCGCCAAGCGCCCTGTTAACTGCTGGACATCCCTTACTAATGTTGGGGTTTGCATCTCAACAATGGCTTTGATTTTCTCAGGATTTGGCTCAATCCCCCTCTTCGTGACCATGAAGCCCAAGAACTTCCCCGTCCTCACAGCAAAAACACACTTCTTCGGGTTAAGTCTAAGATTATGCCTAGCCATAATCTCAAAGCATTTTTCCAGGTCCTGAGCATGTATGTCACTTGCCTTGCTCTTCACCAGCATATCATCGACATAGGCCTCCATGGTCCGTCCAAGCAAAGGCCTGAACAATTTGTTGACCATTCTCTGGTAAGTTGCCCCTGAGTTTTTCAACCCAAAGGCCATCACCTTGTAACAGTATGTGCCGTCCGGAGTGAGGAAGGCCGTCTTCTCCTCATCATCCTCCGCCATGAAGATTTGATGATACCCCTTAAAGGCATCCATGAAGCTAAGCAGCTCACACCCGGCGGTTTCATCAACCATTTGGTCCGGGCTAGGGAGAGGGTAAGAATCCATTGGACATGCCTTGTTGAGGTCTGTGTAGTCCACGCACATCATCCAGGTATCACCCTTCGGGGCCAGGACAACATTGGCCAGCCATTCAGGGTAGTTTACTTCCCTGATATGACCTACCTCAAGTAGGTCCTTGACCTCTTTCTTCACAAAGTCCCTCCTATCACTTGTCAAGAATCTCTTCTTCTGTCTTACAGGCCTAGACCCCTCAAGAACAGAGAGACGATGGCAAATGACTGACCGGTCAATCCCGGGCATATCAGCAACACTCCATGCAAATAATGATTTATATCTAGTCAACATCTGGACAATCTCAGTCCTTAACTCTTCCTGAAGATCAGCCCCAATTTTGACCTTCCTCTTAGGATTGGAGGTATCAATCTGGATCTCCTCTGTGTTTGCATCCGGCTCAATCCTAGCCTTCTCCTCACCCTTGTCTACCTGCTGGGAGACTAATTCAATTTGTTCGAACTGGCGAGTCATCTTCTTGACTGCTTCCAGGTAGCAGGACCGGGCGTTCTTTTGATCACCCCTTTCCTCCCCGATTCCATTGGGAGTGTAAAACTTCATGCATAAGTGTGCCATAGAAATGATGGCCCTACCCTGGTTGATTCCAGGTCTACCAATAATAGCATTATGTACACACTTGATGTCGACCACAACAAATCTCATTTGTTTGGTCACTGTCCTATTACCTGACCCCAAGGTAACCGGTAAGGTTATCTGACCTTCCGCTTCTATGCTAGCTCCAGTGAAGCCTGACAATGGAGTTTGCAATGGCCTCAACATGGACCTGTCAAGCTTCAATTTCTTGAAAGCATCTAAGTATAAAACATTGACACTGCTTCCTGTGTCAACTAGTACTCTGGCCACATCAGCCCCGTTGATGCCCTGGGCAGATCCCTATCAGTGAAAGTGATAGGTTCCCTTCTTGCCTGCTTTCCTTGTGATTCCAAGGAAACCACCGCTACGTGTAAGCTCCTGGCCCAGTTCTTCCGCTGGGAGGCAGTGTCCCCGCCTTCCGGGCCACCGACAATCATCTCAATGAATTCTTTATCTGGATTGTTGTTATCCTTCCCGGATTTTCCCCTTCCCTGGTCTTTTCCCTGAGGACGGGTCTAGGTGTTCGCTTTCAGATCCTTCTTATTCCCCGTCGCGTAACCTTCCCCAAGCTCTCCCTTCAAGGCCATCTCTTTGAGCACAGCCTTGACATTCCGACAATCCGCCGTATTGTGGGAGTCGGATTGGTGGTAGGTACACCACTTCTCCGTCCATGGCCTCTTGGACTGCTCTCCCTTCTTATCATCCCTTATTTGATGGACAGACCCGTCATATGTAGCCTTTAGTTTGGACCCTTCCGCTTGGTCGCCTTTCTTCGGCTTGTCGGTTTTCACCTTCGTATACCCTTCCTCCAATTCCCGCTTGCTCTTATTCAAGACCTCCGCGTCGGCATACTCCCATGCCGTATTGTAGGCTTCTTGGTAAGAGGAGGGTGGCCTCCTACAGAATTCGGTGTAGAGGTCACCCGACCGGAAGGCATTCATCAGCAAAGACATGGCCGTCTTTTCGTCCATCTCTTCTACCTCGTCCCTCCAGCGGGTCAAGAATTGAGTCAAGGACTCCTTCTCCTTCTGCCCTACCGTGTTAAGGTAGGTGAACTTCTTCCTCTTGATGCAATTGTCCTGGTACTTCTTGCGGAAAACTTCGGCAAGTTTCTCAAAGGACCCGATTCTGCTATGGGGAAGGCCATTAAACCATTCCACCGGCCTCCCTCTCAAGGATGAGAAGAAGAGTAGGCATTCCTCAGCATCAGTGCACCCAGCCATCTGTGCTGCATTGTGGAAGGTGTCAAGGTGGACGTTTGGATCCTCCTTTCCTGTGAATTTCTCCACGTCCAGCTTAATCTTCCGTCTCAACCTCTGCGCATGTACCCTGGCCGAAAAGGGAGATTTAGCCAAGGTGTGCTTTTTCGCTCCCGCCTTCTCTTCCACTTTTTCCTCCAGGGCACGTAGTTTCCTTGCTACGCTCCCTATCTTGTCCAGGTCACCCTCATCGTATGAGAGCCTGGTATATGCCGACGCCCTCGGTTGGCTTTCTGCTTCCTCCTCGTCTTGGTGAATCGTCTCAGATTCCCTAGAACGACGAGATTGGGCGTGACGACTCCCGCCAAGTCTTTCCATTGGTGTGAATGCTCCACCAGGCGTTGTTATCGAGCCTGGGAACATTGTTGTCGTCGGCGTAGGAGTAGGGGTTGACATGATTGGGATCATGCCAATCGATCCTACAGTGGTGATCGGAGCAAAGGTCGTCCCCATGCTCGACATCATCAATGGGAAGGCAGGAGTGCTTTCACTCGCAGCCTGGCTTGACACAACGTTGTAGTTGCTCGAAGACATGATTGTGGATATTTAGTGGGGGTAAAGTTTTGACCTGGTCAAAAAAACTTTAAAAATCGGTCCCACGGTCGGCGCCAAAAAATGATGTTGTAAATGTAGCGGTCATCTTTCCTCCAAGGTTGTTCGGTCATTTCTTGAGTTCGACCTGTCTCTTTGGTCCTCTGGACTATCCTTCGTAACATGAAGTGACGAATTGGCTAACGCCCAAAATGTGACCGGTCACTTTTTTAGTGGAAGTGACCGGTCAATTTTTGACCCGTCCCAATCGAAGAGTTAACATCATTTGGTGACTTGATAAAAGTGACCGGTCATATTTTGACCTGTCCCTTTCGGTTATCCGGGTCGGGTATAAGGATATACCCATCAGGTCTAATTTGAACCAAATTGATTGCAATAAAAATAAGTTTAAAAAACATGTTCTTAGTGTTGTCAAGGAAGTACTTGTTTGTACGAGTATTTATTTATTTATCATTGATAAATGATTTTTAATTTTTAAGTTACTTATTTAAGTATTTTTTGAAGTGACTTAAATGGGACGTAAGTCATTTTTTGATGATATTCATAAAAGATAAGTGATAATTTTAAAAATAATCTGATCAAAACAGAGATAATTTATAAAAAACTAATTGGCACAAAGATAGTTTATAAAAAATAGATCAACTTATAAGCACAAAAAATACCCAATAAGCCTAAACCGGTATTATAGTTCTGATATTATAATTAATAGAGAGTGGGGTCGAATTTAAATTTATCCCTTGTGACACTAAAAAACTTATAATAGATTAGGTTGACTTCAAAATTTCAGTCTCGACAAGTATGTTTTTGGCATTTGAACCACTAGTTATAGCCTTAGTGAAGATGGACCCTGCACTGGGTGCAGGGGCTTGGTGGAAGATCACTTGTGGCTGACATGGGCAAGTAGCGAATGATTAAGGGACAAGATGGGGGGAAATGTAGTCTCTACTCTGCAACGAAAATCTCCTGTAGGTTAGTCAGTCGTATGATTAGAAAGAGTATGGCTATAGTAGACATCATCCTTGCGTGGTAGTCGAGTGTGTCGTGTGTGGCCACAATGTAGGGGTGTTCAATCAGAGCGATCTGATTTGATTTGATTCAAAAATTCGGATATCCGAAAATTTTGGATAATGTAAAACTCATTTCATATCCAATCCGAAAATATTCAAATATCCAAAATTTGGATATCCGACTTTTTGGATCGGATCATTGGATTATCTGAAAAGTTAACTTCTTAGCCAAAATTTACAAAAAAAAATGGTAAAATAGCAAAATCAGCCCATAATATCAAATTCAATATAGATTTACTAAAAGAAAAAATTCCACCACTAGATAATGGCCTAAGAAAAAAATGATACCAAATTTAATTTGGGAGTAACTCTGGTAGTTTGGCCTAAACAAACCAAAAAAAGCAGTACTAAAGCAAAAAAGTTCCAAAATGCTAATGTAAAAAGTCCAAAATGCTTAAGTTCCAAAATCAACATAAAATTACATTAAACATATAGCCATAATATATCTCCCTAAAATTCCATTAAACATATACCCCAAAAAATCGGATTCTGATTATCCGAAAAATACCAGAATTTGAATCCATATCTGATCTAATTTTTCTTGGGTATCCGATCAGAAATATCTGAAAGCTAAAATATCAGATCGGATATCCATTTTTCGGATCGGATCTGTCCGGATCGTAGACGGATATTTCTAATCGGATATTCTTGAACACCCCTACCACAATGCACGTGATATCGGCATGACTGTAGTACTTTGTATTACTTCCCCCCCCCCCCCTAAATACCTATGTAAATCCTCTTACAAGGGTAACTGATTTTAGATAGAGAACTTTGGAGCATAGCCGTGTTATAACTCTGTACTCTATAAGTCTATAATAACAACTGGGTTCTAAGTGTTCTCACCTACAACCCTTCCGATACTTTAAGTGTGATTAGTACTTAGTTTGTGTGATCGGCTCACTCCCTTGGACTCAGTCCATCGTACTGAACTCTTTCTAGCTAATTTACACCATCAAAAACAATGCATCCTGGCGGTTGGTGCTTTTATCTTCTATTCGAATGAATACTAATTTTCTTTTGATGTTGAATTATCTCCCTAGTCAAAACTCTATTTCTTTACCTGATTGATGCATGCTTGATCTTCTCGCTACTTTTGCTCAAAATTTTACAACTAAGATCGATAAAAATTGTTTAACTTTCTGCCTAAAAAAAAAATTAGTGTGAGATATGTTCAACTTTACCATAATCAACAAAGCATTTCAAAGAAATTAATTATGACCTCATCCCACTTGTGCTAGTTGAGTTCTTTGTAAGAGGGTTTGAGTTAGAAGTCTTACGTGAGGTAGATTTTGTCATAAACTGTAACACCCTAATTCGTCCAAGTCTGTAGCCCCTTTCGGACTAAAGTATAAACTTGGTATTTGTAATCATTCAAAGCATTTCAAATATTTTCAAACTTTATTTCATAATAAATTATTCAGAATAATAATGAAGCATTTAAAGTTGCAGAAACTTAATAAATCACAACTAAAAACATTATAAATTTATGTCTTTTAGAAACAATAATTCAAATTCACACATCCATCCCGACTATTTCACCCCATATGCCGCCAAGAATAGTCGCTTCATTCTTTCTGCTTTCCTGCATGTAGCAACTAGAACATACTACACGCTCAGCGGTGAAGCTGAGTAAGGATATCTAATGGATCAAACATCCATATAAATTGAATCTCAATTCATAATCAAATCATTTGATATCATGCACATAATATTCAGTTCAGGGATTCAACATTCAATAGTCAACATCCAACATTCCTATTCAACAGGGCTCTTAAACTATCTTTAATCTAAGGCTAATTTATTAATGTTTACCAACTCTAAAACTAATTCTAGTTTAAGTTACTTCAAACCAATTCTTAAGCTAGTCAAGTTTAAGGTATAATATTTTCAAAAATGGTTTCCAACTCTTAAACTAGCCTTAGCTTAAGGTACACAAGGAACCGAATAGCGGACTACTCACCGTTGGGTTGGTTGGGACCCTCAAATGAGTAGGTACTCAAGTTTAGTTGGCGGATCCCAACGTACGTTTTAACTCTGGCCATCGGACATCATACCCGCAAGGCCTAACTAAATTAGTCATATGAGTATATCTTTGAGTTCTTCTAGATATCCTTTAAAATCAATATCAATTCAACTAAACTGGTCATATGGGTATATCTTAGAATTCTTCTAGATACCCTTAACGTTACACATCATTTTCATAGTCATCAACATATTCATTTTCAATTGTGATTCAATCACTTACGATTATCATTTAATCAGAATATTCATCAAAGTTTGCTCACAAATAACATCAATAATAATCATCATAACATTTGATAACAAATAGCGGCCTAGCGTCGAGTGTTAACACCCTAGCTTAATGTCATGCCTTTAACAAGGTTCTTGGATTTGTGAAAACATCATATTTATTTCTAGAAATCATTTTTATATTGATCATAATTGATTAATATCAAAAATAGGATTTACTAATTCAAAATTTGGTTTCTGGAAAATTTTGGGTTCTCGACGGTACCCATTACGGTACCTCGGTACCGTGTCACGGTACCTTCGTGCGTCCGTACCTATGTACCTCTAGCAGAACAGCTACCAACGGTAAAGCCTCTACTGTTTCGTAATTTTAACAACAATTTTAAAGTTTATAATTCTTGGTTCTTCAAGTATCTCAAGCACAAAACTCAACCAAACAATTGTTTATGAACATATAAACGATCTATATGAACATTCTAATCACTAGATATATCTAAGGGCTTACCTCGAACTTGAACGGGGGGTTTGGAAATATTCCGGAAAACCCATATCGACGATTACTCCCAACTCCGGCAACTTCTCACCAAATTGAGAATACCACTGCGTTCTCCACACTCAAAGCTAACTCTCAGAACAAATTTGAAGGGAAATGGTGAAGAAATGGGAGAGAATGGTCTTCCTTATATAGTGTAGGTGAGGAGGAAGAAGCCAATGGAATTCTATGTGATTTTGATCGGCGATTGCTGAGTGGCTAGTGCGATTCGAATGAGTTTCCTACGACTCTCTCTGATTGGGATTATTTTTTGTCCTAGTCGGGATACTCTTTTTGGTCTAACTTTCTCTGAACTAAAATCTGATTGAACCGTTTCGGTCAGACAGTCAAACTCTACACAACGATATAATTTTCATTAGTTATTGACAAATTTTATAAATCATTTATTTTTGGATCCTTCTTAGTATTTAACTAGTTATTAATTAAATAATTCTGATAGACCTATTTTTGGGGCGTTACATAAACATTTAAAAGCGTTGTTCTATTGTTTGTGGTTGGTGTAATCTATTGTGTTAGTTCATTGAAGAGTTGTAACACAGACGTAGGGCCTGGAAAGATATGAGATTTTGCTCCGACCTACGCAAGTAAATTTTTGTGTTTGTTTACTATTTGTACTTTATTTTCTGCGTGTGTGCATTTGACGGAGAAAATGATATAGCACCCTATTTGATAAATATTTCTATGACCAATGTTACAACATCCTCTCAACGGCCTATTTGATCTATCTTTCTGCGTAGATTATTTTTATTCGATGACTCCCATGGCACTCTAAGATATTTTCGTTTGGTATCAAAGCGTGTTAGGAAAAATTATAGATTTTGATGATGATGTATTTAGATTGTAATAGGGACTTTAGGTCATCCCAATATTCAATGTAATTTTTCTTTTTAGAAATATTGTTAAAACTGAGTTCTTGAGATTTCCAATAAAACGTGTGATATTTCACGTTGTGGTTTGATGTTACTCTTTGAAGACTTAACCAAATTCACTGATATGGAAATTGGAATTCTTGATCGAAAATGTCAGAGACAAGTAAGGAATTCTCAAAGCAGTTGGTTTC